AGAAGTTCAATTTTCGATAAAGACCAGTGATGAGCTAGTCACTCGGGAAAGATGAGAGAACAACCCTAACCTTAGCCTGCGTAGCGGCGCTTTGAAGATGGGAGAGGAGAGGGGGCCTAGGGAGGGGAGGGGAAGGTTTTCCTAGCCAAGTATTAAATGATATCTCTGAAAGCCTGTTCGCTGAGACTATTCAATAAATTTTCTTTTCTCTCTTTTAGTTCTTTGCTTCACAGGATATTATGTTATCACTGATCACAGTTGTTTATGTTACTTCGACTGGCCTTGTACTTGTTAGCGGGGCGTYTGATGATACACACTGAATAATGCCCTGCGTAGTCATCCGATGAATYCAATAATTGACAACAAATGATATTAATCCATGCAAATCCAAACYAATTAAAATTGATTACAATTTGAARTCGAATAATGGCACCAGTGAACCGATGAACAAATGCTATTAAACTCTAGATACTGAAGTACACAGAAGGGGCCAGCTGCAACGCTTCCTGCGTTGTCCTTGCTGTCAAAACACGTGCCTAAAAACTCTTCTCTTTTTTTAGCAAAGTAACATTGTACCTTCGAATTTATGTGTCATTGAGTACTAAATTCAAAGAGGGTTTGGATAGGATCATCCTCGGGAACCCAGGGGTAACATTCTGTCGCTCGTTGCCACCAGAAAGAGAAAAGAAGAGTTAGTAACGAGTTGGTATAGAGAAACGAGCGACAGATTTTTATCCYTGGGTTCCCGAGGATGGGATAGGATCTATTAATCATGACAACTGACAAATGCGATAAAAACTGGCAACTGACAAAAAGCCTACAATTTAACTGACAACTGACTGACAAAATACCCGAAATTTAACTGACAAGTGACAAATAAACGAAATATTATCTGACAACTGGACCCCCATCCAGACCCTCTGTCAAGGTCAAAGGTCGAACTTCTCTGCCTACGCATTGATCTGAAAACCGGCAGTGGATAATAAGGCGGTCTTCTCTTATGTCATTAGTTTCGCCTCATGTTCTACGTTTACACTGTACAGGACACATTTTCACAGTTCCACGTAACCAAGCCGACGCGCCTAAACGTACAATTTTTTGACCGGTTACAGGAAGAGCACTCGATTTGTTAGCACTGCTGCGAGTATTTTTCAGCTTATTATTTTCTTAGTTTCTTCTGTTTCAAGCTCTTTAAAATGAAGCATTGAGTTCAAATACACCGAATGATCAAAATAAACCTATTTTTCGATCGACAATAAATCGGTGCATGGTGTAATGCAATTGCCAATATAGTTATGTAATATTAACTATGGATTGCCTCACTGTACAAAAAAAATAATCGTCCACTACCGAGTAATGCATAAACCTTAAGTTGTTACTATTAAATGGCTTCCAAAACATTGTCATCATGATTTTAAAATCGATCAGTAYTGGTATTAAAGGCGGTATTTTTTGAAACAAGCTTGCTTATGCGAAGAATACAAATAAATCATAGTCACGTTTTAGCCTAACAATAACTGGTACAGAACTAGAATCTGCGAGCTCAAGAACCACKGAAAAATAAAATCGATTTCTCGACTGAATACAACTTACTTGTTCGAAGTAGCATTGACGCCATTGGTCGTAGAATTTGTAGAMGTTGTAGTAGGCAATGTAGTTATATATTCTACCACCGTAAGATATAGCTGTATAGCATCTGTAATGGTGTTGTTGTTTATCCCAGATACTTGTGCTATATCATTCAATATGGTTGAGTTGGATACGATGACCGTGAAAATTTCAGTCAAAGTCTTGTTCTGTATCAACTGAGGAAACCTGTATACAGTCAGTATGACTTTGCCAATAACATCACTAGGTACCATGTTGATGGGAGATCAAATGTAACTGAATACGACGAGTAGGAAGAGCCGAACGAAATGATTACTAACGCAATGTTTACTTTTTAAAACACCTACTTTGCATATTCMAGGTTTAAAAACCCACAGGAAGCCCAATAAATCTGAAAATCGTTACATCATGGGGGCCTGTGGATGTGGTTTAACAGTTAACTGACAATTGGCCTAAAAATAAGCAGTTAACTAAAAAAATATCCTAAAATTAGTAGTTAAAAGCTAAATGATATTTCATTATTTTGGTTAAAATTATGGCCAGCGCATGTAGAATTAACAATTGACCTATAAATCATTATCTAACTGACGATCCTTGGAACCACCACCCACGACCCATTTACAGATGTATTAAACAAAAAGGAGAGACGTTCGAGGATGGGACGTTTGTATTATAGAAAAAAAACCCAGTTATTTATAAACATGATTGATCAGGGAAAACGTTTTTTTCTATATTCTTTAACAAAGTCAGGACAAACCTTCATGATGTTGCCATGAAACTCAGGCTGGACCCAGGCTGAAAATCTCGTCCTGAAAGAATCTTAATGTTTTTGTTTTTGTTGTTGTTTTTTTTTAACCAGTTAACATTGTTATTTTGTACCTTTACTTGGCAAAGTAAATAGACCTAATTCGCTTGGTGCAATGTCACGGCCCTTTTCAGACCACGGGACGTCATTCCCAAAAGAATAATGCTCTTTGTTTGAGTTATGTCYATATTCATGTGTKATCCTACGCAACCATTTAASAAAGAAATCGTACTCTATACCAAAATAAAAGTGATGTTTTTCATGATCCCCATCTTCAGCTATGGTCGCCATTGTTTCTTGGAGAAAAATTAATACCCAGTCTCTCGATGAGAAGGCTCCARTCTCCCACTACTGCTTTTCAATTTCTCGCTTTCTTTCTTTCATTCTTTCTTTCTCTCCTATTGCTTATATCAATCACATGACTTTTTTGGAGTTGACTGGGGGGCAAACAAGCGGTTGACTGAGGAGCAACTAGCTGATGTTAAGTCAAAACATGTCAAAATAAGTCCACAAACTATTGTATTTGACTATTTCTAGGACATGAAACCAGAAAAAAAGAGATCAAAACAACCTCCAAGATTCTACAAGCCATTAAAAACGCAGCTTTTACCGGAAGTGATGTCTATTGATAGCAGCCTATTCATTTCTTTTTATTCAAGTGATCTTTATTTCTCCTGCTCATTACTGRGTTGCCTGTGGCTAGCGTTATGAACGATTATAGAAAAGCATAAAAAGGTTTGTTCGARTTTTAAGTCTGGTTTGTGTTATCCTATGGATTAAGCTGGATGTTTTGAAAAATAACTGGAACTGCCGGCCATTTAGTGTTTTGAAATTCTTGATCGGCTGCCGGTCATTTAGACACTCTTATATGAAAATAGCTTGACGCATTTGGGCTGTTAGGACTGAGGTTACTTAATYAAATGGAAATATTTCACTTTTTTATATTCTATTATTTYAAAAATCAAAAAAGAAAAACAGAAAAAGGAGCAAAAGCGTGAGTAGGTATAATATTTAGGTCACCCATCCAAGTGCAAACMCTCCTCATACGAKCTTAACTCAGTATCTTRTTGAACGACAACGATTCATCCACTGGACCACGGTTCCAGGTGAATCAGCATAACAATAGCCGTGAAAACAATGCACAAAACAGACTAGACTTTTTAACATTATATTTTCAACCGATTCCGTGCGTGGCAGAGATGCAAGGGATTAGCCGATATGGTCTGGGGGCCGGCTGGTCTCTCCCCTGATGCTTTGGCTAGAACATTTTCTTGCGTAAATCGTGCACCCAAGGGCAGAAGGATTTAATCGCCGTCATGTCCGAAGTCCATACGCCGCCTCAGCTCTGCGGATGTCTCGGGGGTATGGCACAGTGGGATCGATTTTTTTGAATTTCTTTTGGTGGGTTCGAATCTCATCTTATCCACATTAGATAAAAGTTTTTTTCTTTCTTTTTCTTTTWTCCATTTTTYAATWAGATTCAAATCTTCGACAATGAGGCAATCTTTTTAGTGACAAAAGATTTATTCCAAGTCGGTTGCTTWTAAGTCTGTATATAAGTTCGATCAGACKTWATYAGTCATATAAGCAATATCGATCAGCAAAAAGTAGACCTATGCTTACCTGGTWGCTGACAAAAACATTTWCTRCACTTGGATCTATATATCATATGCTCGCAAACTAGTGGGTGGTGCAGTGAAGCCTTCTGGGTACTATTGCGCAATTTCTACATTTTAGGAAAAGGAAAATAAACAGCCACCCCAGCAAATAATACWATATCAAAGGATGGTAAAAAGATAAGAATATTAATTGGTGATTCTGACTGAGAACATTTGTTACATCTTATAGAGCCAGGTTTAAAAATGACTTTAAAGTTCAAATATAAAAAACGATATACAGTAATATTTAGGCGACGAGATTAAGTATCGCCATATTGGACATGTACATACTAATGAATAAAATATTATAAGTGAACTATTTTTCTGATCGCAGTATGGAATTTAGTTAGCATTTACACAGAGGTTCTTATGAAAGCGGAAAGGTGTGTGTGTAGGGGGAGGGGGGAGCGGAAGACAAAGCTTGTGAAGGAATAACGTCCTCAAAAAAAGATGTTTCATGAGGAATCAAGATCTGTTGTCCGGTTTTGGTCGCGGTTTTGATATCCCTAGGTGGACAGGTATCTTCCTCAGGTAGCGCTAGGACCTACTTCAATAAGTTTTGCTTTCTTAAACTGCAGTTGATACTGGGAGAATTTCTGTACATCATTTGTGTTTCTGCTGTGATGATCTTTTGGGGTATCACCCACCGCAACAACATTTATTAACCTAACCCCAAGCATCCTTTTTAACTCCGATATAAACTTCTCAYTCCAAAAGGCATAAAGAAATGGATTGAGACAGGAATTCAAAACGAAACACAGAAACGCGAAAGTGTTTAAATAAACGTACAAGTTAATGATATCTTTTTTGAGAAAGTTAGTAAAGCCCGATTCTTCTGTGTACGATACGATAACCGGGGTTAGAAAGAAAAATAAGTTTGTGGCTATCATGATCATAATTTTCTTTGCTAGTCTTCCCTCCCTTTGTATCCCCATATTTGTGCTTGATTTTCGCACGGTGTAAAAAACATGAGAATAAAGGGCAAAAGAGATTGCATAGAGTATGATTCCGACTGCTCCAAGATATCCAACAAAGTTGTGTTTTGTGTTTCTTCGGACTTCGAATTCTATAAAAACACAAGTATAGTCAGTAAATCYTGAAATCTTCGTGTGTAWGATGTAAGGAAATGCAATAGCGCCRGATATTAGGAGCCATACAATTGCTAGAAGCATCTTAGCAGCCCTTGAAKTTATATGCACRCTTGGTTTGGTGCTATACACAACACAGAGATATCGCTCAACTGCTACAAGAAAACACACGAGGACGCTAAGARTGTGCGCTGAAAGGTACAGTACTATTAAAAGGAAACAAAAATAAGGGTTCTTGAACTCGTAAAACTGAAAACTCGACATTGTRCGACGAGTTAAAGTCAATATGAAAAGATATAAACCTTGGCAGAAGTCTCCAAGAGCAATGTTCCCAACAAGAAACAAGGTGACGTTTTTCTTGAGAATTCGACTTGAAAAAATAGTCACTATGACAACCGCGTTGATGATGATTGCGAACAAAGAAATGGGAATGTTCATTGTTGTCCATTTTATRATAGAAGACCAACACATATCAGCAGTACTGATCGAGTACCGYGTGTTTTTTATAGTTGGCAGATGTTGATCTTTACAGATTCTATTCTCATGGCTATCCTTTCGGCATTTCATTGTAAAGTTCTTCAGTCCCCAATCAGAGAAGTTGTCATTGAAATAAAACGTTATTTTTAAACATTCCTGTTGGACTGAGGTTTCATTGAGAGTGCACTCTCTCGTCTTGGGCCTTAATAAGTCGCAGAACACACAATCATCGGTATACCGAATAGTGTGAGACACCACGCCCTTGATAGCYGTAATGCTAGGAAGACTTGTCACGTGTCTTGTTGGCATCCATCTTGTGTTACCAGTAACGTCGAGTTCAGTAAGTGAAGGCAGTTGCTTTGCGATGTCAATGGAATCCCATTTGTGTAACTGATTAAAACTTAAGTCCCTGTTGAAAACATTTTAAGGAAAAATACTGTCTTATTGAGAGGATAAAAAAGTGTATATGAAAAGCAGTGGTAAAACCTAGAAAGTAAGGCAGGGAGAGGTAGAAACGGCAGRCGAGGAAAGGTAGACACGTGGACAGGTAGGAAGGGGAGGAGAGGCCTAGATACGGAGGAAGGGGGATGGAGGTGAGGTGGTGAAAAGGCGGGCAGGCAGCTTAGGGAGATGGGAATTGAAGGAGGRAGTCAGTTGTGTACAGGTGGACAGGGAAGCTGAAGTCAAGGMAGTCAAGTAGGGAAGTTCGGAGGTAATCCAATGAGCACGCTTCTGCGTATAATAGTCCCCTTCACAGTTCCCTGCGCCATCTTGAAAGGTAGTGGTRCCTCTGTATCGAGGCGAGACAAACAGTGAGCTTGCAATGATAGAGACAAGCTAGTGAATAATTGTCCAAGGTTTTTAGAAATGYTCTCTATCACCTTTCAAGATAGCACAGGGGACTGTGAAAGGGACTATCATCAAGTTGAGTGGATGCAAGACCAAAGTAGTATACTCACAGTATTGTTAGACTGTTTAATCCCTGAAACACACCTTTCTGGATGTATTTTATGTTGTTGTAGGACAGTTTTCTGTATGATAAATACACCAGACAAAGTTAGTTGTTGTACATACGTACTCCTTTTGGCACGCAGGGTCCCGGGATAGCATTATGCCAAGTGTAACTTATCTAGTGATGCAAATGTGAGACCCATTTACCCTATATATGATAAGCAAAAACTTACAGAACTGAGACTGCTTCAAAGCCTGTGAAACTTTTATCTTGCAAGGCTTTAAGACTGTTCCTCGAMAGATCTCTACAAAAGAACATCAGTTTAAGTCAATCCTCGAAAAATATTATTTACCTAATATGCAAGTGTTTTGTTTGAAATATATTGAATGGCTTTTTCGATAAAGCAACATGCTTAGACAAACACTTACTTTAGACCCGGTATACGGGAAATGGCTGATTCTTATATGGAGGGAGGGAGSGAGAGAGAAAGGGATGGATGAATGGAAAGGAAAAATGTGCGTGATTTTCTTATATGATTTAATAGTAVGACATGCCGTAACATTGAAATGACTTCCCATTGTTTAACCACGTGCATATCCAACCACATTGCGTAGTTACGGCTACGATAAGATACGGTTTGGCTACGAATTTGCCGTGTCTCATTCTACTCATACGAAAACCACTCTATAAGCTAGAGTATCCCTGTAAAGATGAATCTGACATCTTGACWGAGTGTATGACATACTACCATCAAATCAAATAGTAACAAATCAAATAAGCAGTCAAAAAGGCTTTCATTTTTCATGTTATGTGCGACTAACTTACAGGGAGTAAACCAAGATGTTGTCATACGAGTCTTCCAAGTCTGAAATTTTTTTCAGCCGACATTTCACCATCAAATAACACTTGGAATCAAATAAACAGTTGCAATTAATTCTCGGCTTTACGACAGCAGGACAGCTGTTTGCACTTATATTCGAGCAGTTCTGCACGGCGTTCCCTTTAGTGACATTGATCATCAATACCACCAATATGATAGCGTTGAAGATCAAATATAGCGGCTTGATAAACACCATTGTTACCTGAGATTAAAGTAAAACATTAGGAGGTCCACAATATATGGAATGAATCATTAGATGTATTAGATGTATGCTAATTTGAAGAGGAGAGAAGTAAACATCTCCCAAACTATACTTGCTCAGTGGCCACTGCAACTTGTCTCGCAACAGCGTTGCGACACAAATAGTCCCCTTCACAGTTCCCTGCGCCATCTTGAAAGGTAGCCGTGCCTTTGTATAAAAGCAAGACGAACGGTGAGCTTGCAATGATAGAGACATGCGAATAATTGTCCCAGGTGTTAAAAAAGGTCTCTATCACTGCAAGCTCACCGTTCGTCTTGCTTTGATACAAAGGCACGGCTACCTTTCAAGATGGCGCAGGGAACTGTGAAGGAGACTATTGCAAGAGTGTTTACACGGTGCAACGGAGACGCAATCGTCAAGACGCAATTGCCAAAAGTAGAAACGAATTCTAGTTCAACATTTTTCTTATTGTGCTGTAGGTTACACGCTGCAATTYTCCATGCAACTTGTGTCGCAACACCGTTTAGTTATTTTTTTAAGAATGACATCAATGAATATAAAGTAAATCCGCGACTAACGAAAAGAAGAGGAATARTAGTAGCTTTTTTTTTTATTTGAYTATACACATTACAAATCTACCCTGTTCAAAGATCGAAGACACATACAAGCTTCTCATCATTTCAGTTTTTCTTTCTTTTTTTCTTTCTTTCTTTCTTCCTTCCTTCCTTCCTTCCTTATCACTTTTAAATTCTTTAATATAAGTCTACATACCTTGTAAGACATGGTCAGGAATATTTAATTCTTTCTCCAAAAAAATCTTCTTTCTTTATTATAGCGTGAACAGTTGTGTTGTGTAATCAAACAGTAGTCTCTTCTAGTGAAACTTGATGCGTTGAGTTTTCGCCTTAATATGACTTTTCGTTGAAATATTTATTTGATAGACGGCTGATGTCGTTACTGGATGAATTTCTATTCAAAAAAAAAAAAAAAAAAAAAAAAAAAAAAAAAAAAAAAAGTAAACAATAAGCATGTTATTAAAATGAATAAACGTGTTTCAATAAAAGCTGTCAACGATGAGTCGATCTAAAGGAAACCAAATTAATTATGAAGACAACTGACAACGAGTATAACATACATCGAGAAATATTGTTTTATTTCAATGATCTTTTCTTCGAAATTATTTTTCATTTCAATAGATCTTTTGACACAATAAATGACTGGGCCCTTATTGATGGGAGAAGCAGGTGAGAGAATGAATACAGAAGAATAGAACTGGCCAGACCAAAGTGAAGTTTATTTAACAAACAAGGGTGTTTAAATTGAAAAATCAGCTAAACTCTTATCAGGTTTGACGGAAACCTCAAGTAGAATAAAATATATAGTAACAATACTTTAGCAGCTACACACACACACACACACACACACAAACACACGCTTATTTTTAATGGCCTGACATAGAAATAGTAATGATAAAAAGGTAAATTATGCACCATGAAAAGATGAAAAAACGTACTGACGTTTCGGACGCTAGTCCTTCGTCGTTGCTCGTTTACTCCGACGAAGGACTAGCGTCCGAAGCGTCAGTAAGTTTTTTCATCTTGTCACGGTGCATAATTTACCTTTTCATCATTACTGTTTTATTAGAAACGCCGACGCAGCTCACACTAGTTTTTAGCTAGTTATATCTTGACATAGAAATAGATTGTTTTTTTATTGAGCGGTTTTTGCGTACAGGGCCTTCTATCATTTCGTTCGACTCCAAACCATCATGAGAGTTCATCAGTAACATTTCCCTTTGACAATTGTTTTTCATAATTCATTATTAATGCGAATAACATTGCTGACTGCTTATGATAAATGTGTTTGAAGTGGGAGGTCCACTCCGTTGCTTTTAGCTTTTTTTTCTTGACTTTCCTAGTTCGTACCTAAAATGCATACTCATATATTCCACGTTTCCTAAGATTTTATTTCGCCCCATGTAGATTTTAAAGGTCGTATCCTGCTAAAGAGTTATCGATTATAAGATCTTGTCTAGTTTAACCATAGTTAATAGAGGGGAACTATGGTTTAACGCTCCGTGATTACGTAACGAGGATCGCGCGGTCGCGTTGCGTTGGTGCGTGCAGAGCGAGTCAAGTACGAAATGACAAAGCGCTCATTTTAACAACCTTCTGACTCCTGTAAGAAAATAACATTTCAGCAGCAAAAGAACACAAACGCAAGATAAGTAAATAAGTACGACGTTCATTTGATTGTAGGGAAAAAGAAAAAGGAAAAAAAAAAAAAAAAATCCCACCATTTTCTAGAAGGTCTCCTAGTGTATACATTTCTTAAGACGAACGGAAACCTGCTTGCAAACCAGTTTTAGAGAAACAACTTACAAACTGTTGTGCGTTACAAGGAAATGCGTGTTGCAATTGAGCCCGCAAAACAAAGTATGCAGGGATTGAAGTTTCATGTCAAAATCACGTGCTAAAGCCCACAGTGTTGAAATAAATAGAGACGATTTCCTACTTCTTGGACTTTTTTTTCCAAATGTAAAACTTAACAAGGAAATGGAACTCTGACTAACAGGTTGGATATTTTCTTGAATATTGTTCTTTTCTTTAACAATAATACTTAAATAAGATCTGTCTAAAGACCTGGACGTACAAGCAAAGCATAAGAGTTGACAAAAGGAAGTGAGAGGGGCGGGGGAAAACGTWAAAAAAATCATCTTTCAAAATATCAGTATCTAAGTTTATTATCAAAACACCATTCAATTTTTTTTCAAAATGTTTTCATTGTTATTAAAGTGGATTATACACTTTCATACGGTCTAGCGTCTGCAAAGAGCAAATTAATCATGAAATCTCAAGGTCACTAATTCCAGCAAATTCTACAGCACCAATGCTAAACACTTTTCTGCGTGCCCTGTGTGCACTGGTTATACGATAAAGCTCACCCACTGCATGCGATTGATCGTATTACTTATCCAATAAAATCTTTAAAACTTATGCTATTTTTAGTTGAGAAGCGTTGAACATCAGCTACATATCCTAAACTGAATCAAAATTGATGATTTAACTTGATGATCAGAACAATTATAACTCCTTCTTTTGTTTGAGAAGATCGCCGTAAGCTGTCACTCTGCTACCAGAAAATAACTCGTGGTTTTTTATTATCTCTTCTACAGTTAGGTAGTTATCCTGGAAAAAAAGAAAAAGAAAAACAATTGTGAAGATAAAGTTAAAGGCTTGCTAGATGTACTGAAGAAAAGAGCCAGCGTTGCTCAATGGTCTGCGGTTGTTCCTCGCACAACACTAAGATCAACGTCTGCTACACCTTCATATTTACTCATTGCGTAAACTCTACGTATTGAATTCGGTTTCTGTGCCTTACTTCACTTCGCCCTAGACCTGTCAGTATTTTAAAAACTTATTCATAAACTATTAAATTTATAAACGTTTCTGTTCTTTCTTGCGCACAATGATTGCCATTTTACTGACACTACGTTCGAATTGTTTCGTGTCTAAGCACAAAAATAAGATTCATTATCATCCCATATATCCCAATCTGGAGGCATAATACTAACATACTAACAAATCACTCATGATTGTAAGCTGCACGACTGCTACTAGCGCCTTAATATGCAGCCCGCAAAAGTCCTCCACTGATCTTGTAAGGCGCCATTGAGCTCCTGGAAATGCATGGCGCTATATAAATTCATCCCTTTACCTTTTTTACCCTTTAAAGTTAACTAAAGAAATTGTACAACTGAGTGCAAAGTTTTGTAGGTCTGCGGTCTACTGAGGCCTACTCAACTTAGCAATTTGTGCATTTTCGTACAAAGGTTTTCACAGATACACTCAATTGAAGAATCGTTGTCGGGTTCAGAAACATAGAACATAGAAGCTGAGACCGAAATGGCACATGGGAAGTAAATAAGCTAAGCGGTTTCGTCTACGCTGCAAACTATAAAAATGCGAAGCCAAACGGCTCTCAAACGCAGGTCTTCTGAATACGCGTTTGGCATTMTAAACCGACTGCTTGGATGGCGCAAATGAATAAATTATAATATAATTATGTCATTTCCCATGTGCCATTTTGGTCTCAGCTTTTATGTTCTATGTTTCTGAACCCGACAACGATTCTTCAATTGAGTGTATATGGTATGCAATCTACTTGACAAACCTTATTCAAATCAGCCTCTTTCATAAGATGATCAGCTTCGCCTGCAGCAGGATCTACGTTTCCACCCGGTAGAATCCAATCCCTGATTTCGTCCTTAAACGGGACAAAAATATTTWAAAAAAATAAGGCTGCGGAGAATATTACAAAGGAGTTCATTGGCTCATTTAACAAATCAAGGTGCAGCATATGTTATGACGTTTAACTGTGACAGTCAGTATCATAGCAACGTTAGTATCAGCCTACGCACCAACGATGAGTAACGTCTGTGATACGCAGGTTACGAAACCGGACAATCGTGATAACGATCTCCATTTTGCAGTGATTTTTGTTCATTCTGTCAAGGTCAAGCTGCATTGTCGAGCTGCATTGTCGAGCTCGGTGGTATTACAGTCAACTCTCGCCTTGCGGTCCCAAGGGTGTCCGCGGTAACGAGAGTTGACTGTATACGACAACATATACTAGAAACATCCATTTTATACTGCCTGTTCAACAGTTGTCCCGTCTCTTGACCCTTGACCCTTAACCCTTGGTCCCATAGAATTTCCATTTCATAGACTTTTCATTTTACGTTTTATTCATCAAAGTTAAGATATTTTTTAACTGTACTTTCTTTTTTTTTTTCTCACTTACATTATCCAAGACTCCATCGTGGTTCTTGTCCAGATCCTTATTAAAGGATTCTCTGAAGGAATTTAATGACTCCTCGTCTTTCATGATGCCTTCAGATTCCCCAGCCCCTAAAATGCAAGTATAATAAGCCAGTTTTACCGATTAGACGAGCTTTTGGTTAGATCTGATAAATTGAAATTCATTTGCTTACCGTAATACTCCTCAAAGTTGATTTTTCCATCGCCATCTTTGTCAAGCTGCTCAATGTTTTCCTTTTATTTTGATAAATGTAAAAGGAAAATTAATTTGATTAATAAGCCTGAAGCGAGATGACGTTTTACCCCCGTCTCTAGACCATAATCCTTTTCACATTGCTTTTGTTCTTTAATTATGACTATTGTTCCTGTATTCTCTAAGGAATCAAAAATTTTTAAAATGAAAGAATTTTAAAAACTATTATGGTAAAGAGTCGGAGGTAAAACGTCATCTCGCTTCAGGCTTATTTGGGACTGTTTTAGACGCCCTCTTGGAAATGTGACCCCTAAACCCTCCCACAATAGGCCTTTTCTGAGTTAGATAAACAGAATGCATTGTGGTCTAGATTCGGTACAAACAACACCATATAAGGTATCAAAAAGATATAACTAGCTAAAAACTAGTGTGAGCTGCGTCGGTGTTTCTAATGAAACAGTAATGAT